ACATTTCTGGTTCACACTCTGACCAACCCCAGAGGTATAGCAAGTTCCTAGACAATACCACCACTAGTAGGGAGGCAGAGGGGCAGACAGGGCAAAATGAAGCCAGCGCTGCAGGTACACATGGAAGAGATGTATCTAGACTCCTGAACACCCTTCCCAGCTCCCCCAGACACAGCTCCCCTATTACCTGGCACATATTCTGTGAAGCAGAAAAACAAGAGGGAAACAGTTTTTGTTTTTGTGTTTCCCTAACTTTTAAAGTTATCTTTAAGTGCTTGTACAAAGGAGTTTCAATTCAACACGTCAGTTTATGAGTACATCTTGGTCATTGTCACTGAAGAGGGACATTGCTTCTATCCTTCCTTCATTCCTGATGAGATCATCTTCCCTCATCACCGAGAATGACCATTTGTGGGGTATTGAGCTGGTACCCTTTAGGGAATTTCTTTTAAAAGCCCAGGGTTTGGAGGACAGGGTTGGAATAGGTGGTAACAAGAGGAATAGGATTCCCTAAGTGACTTCACCCCAACAGGTCTACGCCCATCTGTCCGTCTGTCTGTCCATCTGTCCATCCACTTGTCCTTCTGTACATCCATCCATACATCCAACTATCCAGCCAGCCATCCAGTCAGTACTAGGGTTTGAATTCAGGTCCTCCAGCCTGCTAGATAGGTACTCTACCACTTGAGCCATTTTTTGCTTTATATTTTTCAGGTAGAATCTTGTTTTTTCCCAGGTTAGTCTTGGATGGCAATAGTTTTTCCCATGCCTTTTGTGTAGCTGGGATTATAGAAGCAAGCCACCATGCCTGGTTAGTTCACATTTTTTAACTAGGAATAGGTTTTTCAAGCACAACCCTTGGGAAAGGTATAGTGAACTGTCTTTCCTGCAGAAAAACACTGTTCAGTGCTCAGTGCTGCAGCCCAGTTGTCCCAACCCTCACCCTATGACCTCCGATATGCTTCTGTGTAATGAGCTGCAACAGGGACCCAGCTACCACATCTGTATTCACAGTGCCCACCACCGGCGCTTAGAAGTGTCGGCTCCTTTCTTCTCTGGTTTTCCTTTCCTGCCACTGTTTGATTGCTACCATCAGCTCGAATAATTCTGTTTTGCCAAGGAGTGCCTCTAGTTTCCAGGACAGCGGACTTGATTGCTTACAGGACATGCTCAGCGCTAGAAGAAATTAAAATTAGTGGGAGATGGGAGGGAAGTAGGATTCTGTGAACTGAGCCAAGAGAAAATGACCATGTTTTCACAAAACAAGGAAGAGGGTCTTGGTTAAAGCTATAGAATATATGAGCCACAGATCAGCCAGGGTCAGAGACAGGAGAGTACCCAGGTCAACCACAAGAACAGAGCAACACCTTTCCTGTCCCCCATCCCTTCCTCTGTTTGTTTCCCAGGGGTTTACCCAGAATAATATGCTAGAACATCTGTGATGAGTGGAGAGGTAGAGATGGGCCCTGGGATGGTCTGGAATATGCTTTTCATTTAGCAGTAACAGGGCAACCTGACGCTAACTTCACGAGATGGAGACAAGGAGGTATTTTCTCAGTAACCACATTGGTGTGATTCCATAATTACTGAACTACATGGATTTGCCTTGAAATTGAATAGTTAAAAGCAGAGTAATTGCCTGATATCTGTACTCTGTAATTTAGTATAATCTAATCATGGACAAAGCCCAAAAGAAAATGTTCTGAAAGCATTGCATTTTTCTTCATACACAATTTGTTATTGACATTGGGTAATGTATTCCATGCCTCTAAAGGAACTCTTACCCAAAGGGCAAGCTTGGCCAAAAAGCGTTTCCTTTCATTTTCAACAGGCTGTTAGAAAGAGATGGCAGAACTCCCGTCAAACCTGATCTAGCACTTTTTTGTGACTCTATTTCCCCCTCATCACCCACCCCTAGACACAGCAAAACCAGATGAGAAGACAAAAATCTGAGACTTAAGTAACACCCACTTTTCAACCTCAAGGTCCAGTGTCCCCCAGGAAGATGTCATGGCACTGTGGTTAGAAACAAGGCCAGAACAGCTGAGGATCAAGGACGAATTTGCAATCCCCAGGCATCTTGGAGACCTGATAAATGTATGCAGGGCTTTCTGCAGGATGAAGGAGAATGATACCCACTAAAAGATTTATGGTCCCTATTATTTTGGGGCTCTGCTGGGGCAGAGAGAGGTCAGTAGGAGGGGAGGTGGTGTGGTGGCCTCAGAGAATTCAGAGGGTGCTCCATGCAACTCCTGCCTCTGCTAAATGTGTGGATGTGGTTACTAAGTACATGTAGATGCTGTGGCTTGTCTTTCCTGGTTGCATTTAATAAATCAGGAAGACCAACCACAGCCTGAGCTGGCCACCTTTAAAAAAAAACCACACAAAGTAATGGGAAGAAGGCCTCTCAGTGCAGCTGACAACCTCACAGTATTTCCCTTTTCTTAAAAAGATGCCTTACATTCCTGACAGGCCCTGAAGCAGAGCCACTGGGAGACACAGAGGCAGATTACCACCGAGAAGCCCACACAGCCTAGGGGGCAGCTCCTGACAAGATGGGGGATAGTGGTGACCGAGCAGCGCTAAGTGGCTGCCACAGACTCACCACAGTGAACTGGGTAAAAGGGTGTTAAGGGCGGAGAATGTCAGGGACTAAATCCAGAGGCTGAATATGAGCAAGTATTGAAGTTCAAAGCCCACCCAGGCAGGAAGGTCTGTGAGACTCTTACCTCCAATCAATATCTAAAAGCCAGAAGTCAAGCTGTGGCTCAAGTGGTACAGCACTAGTCTTCCTTTGCTGAAAAGCTAAGGAACAGCATTCAGTCCCAGTATCAGCACAAAAGTAAGCAAACAAACAAATCCTGGGAAGGAGCAGGAAGGGAGCCAGTAATTTAGGGAAGAAAGTGGGAAGACAGAGAGGGAGAGACCACAGTGGGACCTGAGAAGAGTCGGAGGGGAGCTCATAAGCAGACCCAGTATGAGTGAGTGGTTGGGAACTGGATATCCACAGATGCACACCAAGGCTGTTAGACCCAGAAGACAACAAGGCCACTAGCTGGCAGAAGTCCATGTGGAAAGGAAGGGTGGCCCTGGGCTGCAAAGAGCCACTACCACCAACATACTGGGTCTTAGACTGGAGATCTTCAAGAAGGTTCAGGGAAGGTCTGAGGGCTAGCTGACCCTAGGTGTACAGGTAGCAGCAGCAGTGTCCTCCACACTGGAAGGCTGATAGAGCTCCCAATGAGTACCACTGTTGCACTAAGTTCCACTGCTGGGGGTGGCTCTAGTTCCCTCCATATTTTTCAAGTGCCCTGAGATCCATTGTGATGAAATAGACTATCCGTCTGCAGAACATTGCACCGTTCACTTCATTTAAGCATCCGTTGCAAGCCCTCTTAGAATATACTGGGCTGGTATTGATGCCGAAAGACTCATTCTTTATATATTGAACTGCACAGCTGCAAGGAGTTGCACAAATGTTACCAACTCATTTGTCATGCAAACAGTGCTTCAGAAAGAAATAAAATACTATTATGTGGTATACGTGTTAGGCAATCACTATATCAAATCCATGGCATTCGATGCAAACACAGGCAGAGAAAAGGAAAACAACACTTGGTGAGAGAAATCACACCACATGGGAGCAGCTAAGTCAGGGAGAAGGCGAGGCTAACAATGGAAGCCTGATCGAGCAGAGGCTGTAATTTTCCCAGCAATGAGGCCAACATTGGATACTCCTGAGGTACAGCAAGTGGCAGGAATGCAAAACTCTGACAGGGAATATGGCCCAGGGTTCCCAGAGAGGGGAGAGACAGATGTGGAGGTCAGCAATGGGACTTCTGGGTAAAGCTACAGGGAAGAGGGGGCTCTGAGAGAAGGAGAACTTAAGGAGGGCTGTGATAGAAATACTAGGTTGGTAATAAATGTTTCAAAAAGGGAGTTGATGAAAGATGTGAAAGGAATAGAAGAGGTAGAGTAAAGCAATAATCTACAACTCTATTTCCGTTTGCTACAGCTCCCCTTGCTTCCCTTAGGGGGTTCCTGCTAGGAGCCTTCATGTAACCAAATCACCTACCCAATGGGAGGCTCTGCACCAGCACTGGTAGCAAAGATTTGAGATAAGTATAAACAGAGATGAGCATGCACCAGGCACTGTTCTAAACACCTTACAGGAAATTAACTCTTCTCACCCTCCCAGCAGCCCAACCAGGGTTTTTGACAAACAGACTAGGGATGTTATTTGGATATAATCGCAGATCTAATAGTTGTGGAACTGGGAGTGGAAATCAAACTCGCTCTGGACCCCATATCCTAAACCACAGTGAGAGAGGCCAGACGGGGTCTCAGGGGTGTCCCCCTACCCATCTCTTTAATGTAATTTCCATGCCCGTGCCAAACAGGCTCCTCTGAACCACTGGAGCACAAGACTTTTTCCACGGTGGAAGCTGCGTGGGCCTCGGGCTGGAGCTCACTGAGGGGCAGAGTCTATCCTGGGCCAGGGCTGCACACAGTCAGCGCTCAGTTGGCCAGTTGTATGTCCAAGGCTGGCCTGCAAGCAGCCCAAGGTCAGGACAGGGTCTTGGAACATTCCTGAAGTCTACTCCACCACCCAAATAAAACCCGATCACACACTGTTGCCAAATCATCAAGTCTCCAAATCTTGGCAGGGGGTTGGTTGTCTTTAACCAGTAAGCAATACATCCATTCGATCCACGGTTTATTGGATGCCTGTCACGGCGTGCTGCGGCGTAGGGGCAGAGGACCGGTGTAAACAGGGCTAGAGATAAAGGCCTGGAGAAAGGGAGAGAGTGGAGCAAGTTCTGAAACCAGAAAATAAAGAAATCCTGTCCGACCTTCCCAACATGGCGGCCCCAACACCCATCCCGACCTCCTCAGTATGGCCGACCTCGCGGCCAGAAGCGACCTCCCCAACATGGCGTCCAAGTCTGACCTTCCCATCATGGCGCGCGGCCCCGCCCGCTCCGCCGCGGCTGCCGGCGGGAGCAGTTCCGGGTGCGGTGCGCGCCAGGGGCGGGCGGGGGGCGGCGTCCTGGCCATGGCCGGCCTGTCGGACCTGGAGCTGCGGCGTGAGCTGCAGGCCCTGGGCTTCCAGCCAGGACCCATCACCGACACCACTCGGGACGTCTACCGCAACAAGCTGCGCCGCCTGCGTGGCGAGGCCCTGCTGCGCGACGGGGAGCGGGTGCGGGACGAGGCCCGACCGCGGATCCAGGAGCGGCTGCGGGACGAGGCCCGGCTACGCGAGGAGGCGCCGCTGCGCGCCCGGCCCGCCGCGGCCCCCGTGCGGGCGGAGCCCTGGCTCTCCCCGCCGGTCTCGGGCCCAGCCTACAAGACCTCCGGGCCCTATGGCGACTTCGGGGCCTCCGCCGCTTCCTGGGCCGGAAGCCGCGGCCTCGCTCATCCCGCTCGCCCTGCGCCGCTCCGGCGTCGCGCCTCCGTCCGAGGCAGTTCCGAAGAGGATGAGGACGCCCGGACGCCCGACAAGGCCTCCCTGGGCCCGGCCCGCCGCTGGTGGGGCGCGTCCCCGGCCTCGGCGCGGCCGCCCTCCGCCCTTCTCAACCCGGACCCGCGTCCCGGCCTGCGGGCCACGCGAGCGAGCTCGGCGGGCACGGCGCGGGCCCGACCCGAGGTGGGGCGGCGGCTGGAGCGCTGTCTGTCTCGGCTCCTGCTCTGGGCCAGCCTGGGGCTGCTGTTCGTCTTCCTGGGCATCCTCTGGGTGAAGATGGGCAAGCCCTCGGCGCCGCAGGAGGCGGAGGACAACAGTACGTCCCGGGCCGGCGCAGGGGAGGGCCCGGGGGGCGCGGGTGACCGCCCAGCGCAGGCTGCACAGCCCCGCGCCTCTTAGCGGCTCCCAACTGTCTCCCCATTTCCAGGTCCTCGCTTTCCGTCTTCTCAGCATCTGCAATACTTTCTGCCTTCGCTGTCTCCTTTCCTGCCCTGACCCTCCATTCTGATGTTTCCCTTTTCACCACGTGCTGGGAGCAAGTTCTACTCCAACCTCTTATTTTCTTTTTAGAGACAAAGCCACCCCCCTTTTAGAGATAGGCCATCCCCACCTGGCTTTGCTGCTTCCCTTTTGATCACTCACAATTCAGTATCCTTTTGAAGAACCCTTCCCCCCAAATATCACTGCCCCACAGGTAGGATTTGGCTGTGGTCCCATCTTTCTAAACAAAAAACACCATTCACTCTACTTCAGAACAAGGGGCGTTCGTTCTCAAAAGGACACCAAGCCCTACCTGTGGATCAGGTGTAGGAGAACCTTTAAGAAAGTTAAAGTGCTCTAAACGGGGGGAGAGGGAGGTTGCCATTGTGGCACTCTGCGGAGTGAGCTAGGAGAGGGCCTGTGATTCAAGACGCTGTCATTGCCCTTCTGTCCACACTTAATTACACAACTAGACACACCAGTGAGAAGTGTGTAGCATGCAGTAAGAACATATCCTGCATAGCTGAGGATCGGTGTTATCCCCAAAGGAAAGTTGCCTGTCTGTTAACTGTAGGCTCTAACAAGAGATCATAGAGATCATTTCATTATAAATTCAAAACTGACACCTTAATTTGCAAACTTTTAATATTCTTCCCAAAGTCTGAGTGTAATTAATACCGTTCCCAACCTGGAGTCCAGGTTACGTCCTTTCATTCTAGCCTGGACAGCTGAAGTCCAAGAAAAAGCTGAATTATGCCTCTACTGTTGGGGCAAATAGATGTTTGAGTGGGCCTGGGATCACAGACTTAGGTGGATTTTCAAATGATTCTTCACTGAGAGCATAGTCAGTGAACTTTGGAAATCCCTATGAAACTGCTAGAGAAATGAAGCAGACTGATAGCACCAGGCAGAGGATATCACAGTATCGAGTTGGTACTCACTGCTGAGATACTTTTAAGATGAGAGTCCTGGGATTCTGTATAGGGCTTTACCTGGGATTCCCTTCTCGTGATGGTATTAATCCCTGCTTAACATTGTTTATAGTTCAGAAAGCTTCTGGATATTGTTTGGGCCTAACTCCCAGTGTTAAGCAGGGAAGGCCCATGCAACCCCCATCTTAAGGATGAGGAAGTAGATTCTAAGTGATTAATTGCCTAAGAACTAGTGGCTGCTCATTTTTAGCTGAAAAAGGACCCAACTATCTAACTTCCTAGTCCAGGAGGGGGAAATTCTCAACATCTTGTATGTGCCCTTTAAAAGTGCCACATTTAGATGCCATCTTTCCAGTGCCCTCCCTCGTAGCAGCAATATTTTGCTTCCCCTAGAGCTTGAGAGAAGTCTTTTCTTTTCCTCAACCCACACTGTTTTTAACTGTTTCTTTTCTTGGTCTCAGTGAAGTTATTACCAGTGGACTGTGAGAGAAAAACGGATGAGGTGAGTCTGAGTTTTGCTTTTACTGTTCCTCCTGAGGATGTTAACCTCCATTAGGAGGTAAACTTCCCCAGAAGAAGATCCTAATAGGATCATTTTGGGGGAGCACTTTCTGTAATGTACCAGAATCCCATCGGGTTCTGTGATGTTTGTGTCACACTCAATTGTGGCTGTGAAGCAGTACTTGAAATATAGACTGAGCTACCAGATCCACCCCTGGGCTTGTTGTGGAAGCACTCCCATCAATTGCAACATCAGGGACTTTGATCTTCTGCCTAAGTTGATCCTGGGAGATAGATGCAGTAGGTTGCTGAAGGACCTCTCAAGCACTCTGGTGCAGGGAGGAAAGGCTGGCAGTTTCTAAGCCTCAGCTCTCAATTTCACAGCCTCCTCTCTGGTGGACATCTGAAGCTCTAAAAATGTGCTTCTGATTTGACACCTTGGAGGGGTGAGCTTGAAATGAGTGGCCAGTGGAATTAGCCCTCTTATCTTAGACTATGTTTCCATTTGTTTTATGAAGCCCTAATGCTCCCTAGCAATAACATTTGGGAAAGGGAGCAATCCCCTGCATTTATGAATCATGCAAGCAGCTGATTCTGGCAGTAGTCTGGAAAAGATACAAAGCAGTAAATTTTCAGGTCATAAATCTTACCCGGAAAAGTTGTGTGCTGCCAGAGGGCATGACTTAGTAGTCTAATTATTAAGTGTGCAGTGCTGGGCCTACACAGCCCCAGGGCCAAGAAAGAAATGACGTGTGGTCATCAGGACGCCCCTGCACTGACGCTTGCCCATGTTAATGAAGGGCATCCTGCTGCAGAGAACCAGGTTTCATTTGTCCTTGGTTTCTGATGCGTCATATTTTGGGGGTGTTTTATGACACTCATTTATCGAACTCATCCACCAAAGGTCTTTGCTTTCCAATTGTTTTGCCCAAACAGATTAGTAATAAGTTTAATTTGCCATCTATCACAAAAGCAGTGGTTGATGATAAAAGGAAGCAGCCTAGAAACATAGGTGGCCAAAGGGAAAGCTTGACTTCTAAAGACTGAAAGGAAAACCAGGAAAAAGTAACTTTTCTGGAAAACTCATCTTGTCTCCTGATGGTAGTTTTGTTTGCCTTTTGCATTAGAAAAGTGTTTGCTGGCTTAGATTTGTACGCCCTAAATCTGACACCTCTCTAAATGTGTCAGACCCCAACTAAATGGCACATTTGCTCCCTGGCCCTCTTTGGAGCTGGACAGACATGCTGTACTTGAATGAGCCCAGACAAGCCCCTTTAGGTCCCTGCCAGACATGCTCGGTGAGCAGATGGCTTCTGGCCTCTGTTAGACAGTTCAGACTCCAAATACTCCCTGTTTGTAAGCCAGCCTGCCTTTGAGCACACAGCTGAGCCTGGGCAATAGCCACACTGTCTTATTGGGCTAACTTCATGGAGCGTAGGCCCCAGATCAGGCCGGGCGACATGGTTCTTGGGTTTAGCGGGGCCCTGGCTGAAAGTGTCCTTGGGGTAGCCTCTCACCCAGAACCAAGATGGGCATTTGAGCATTCGCTAAGTGTTCTTTCCTTCTCCATGACTGTTAGGCTTTTTCTTTCTCACCTTGTGCTTCTGAGAGTGTGGGGACAGGCTGGGATGGGTTGTCTTAATCAGGCCATCTGGTCATCTGGTGCCTCAGTCCTGTGTCCTTGAGGTGGTGTCAGCCCGTGCAGAGTGGTTCGTATGGAAATTCACCAGATCCTCACCACTGTCCTTCCTCAGATGAGGCCTGGCTCCCCTTCTCCACCCAGGGTCCCCATAAAGGGGTAGGAGTGGGCCTGACAAGCCCGCAGTCCCTAACATTCTGCCCTGACCAATGAGCTCTGCAAGGCCCCGCTGCCATGGCTCTTTCCTCCGAGGAAGCTGGGGGTCTGCACTCATTGGCCCCTCACACTGGTCTCTACTCAAATGGTACTGTGTAGGCCCAGAGCCCCCAGATGGGTCTCCTTAGTCACTGTGTCTACCTGTGACTGCCTGCACCGTCACGGTGTCCTTCTCAGTCATTTAGCCTGATATTTATCACCTATCTCCCTGGGCCCAAGCTCTGCAGAACTTGCTTTTTTTAAAATTAGATGTTCCTGGCTGTCACAATGGAGAGGAAAAGCTGACTGCTTGTCCTGTGCCTTTTCAGTTCTGCCAGGCCAAGCAGAAGGCAGCCTTGCTGGAGCTGCTGCATGAACTCTACAACTTCCTGGCCATCCAAGCTGGTGAGTAGCACCAAGCCACTGATTAGTTGTGCTGTGACCACCATGACTGTCCCCAGAAGACAGATTCAGAAACCAAGCCTCACTCCCACCTCCACCCTCATCCTTTTTGAGCTTTCTCTTGGGACATTACATGTCTCGCCTTACTTCTCTTTAAGGGCCACAGGGGCCTGAGGAGCGCAAGATATGCTCCAATCTGTGGGATGCCAGCAGTTTGTGTGGGTGTCAGAAAAGGTCCAGGCGGTGAGTCTTCTCAGAGCTTGTGTTCTCCTGTGGACAACAGAAGTGAATGTCCATGCTTGGGCCTAACTTACTGGTCTTGACCCAGGCAGATCAGTTCAGCCTGAGAAATGTTCAAAGGTACATGTCATGGGAGACATCTGAGGATGAGCTGAGGACTATGGAGTCTCATTGGGCAGCCAAGGTTGAGTGATTTGAACTAGGTCCTCCTCAGGGTCCTTATCCCTAAGGTCAGTCTTACAGGCCTCACTCTGCCAGCTTCTCCTTCCTGATACGAGGAGCCTGGAGATGGTTGGGGAGCAAAGGCCTTGGACTCCTGCCCATGTTCACAGTCATCCTAGTGTTCCTCTCTGGTGTTCTCCCCTCGAGATGTCAGGTACAGGTGACATCTCTAGCCTCAAGTCCCACTCAGGTTGACTAAGCATCTGAAGCTTTGTGTCTTGGCTGTGTCCAAGCATCATCACATTCTACTGGAAATGTAGCTTCATTCAGATCTAATCCTAGCCTTTGGAGTTGGTAAAGTCCCAGGGGATCTGTGTGTACCCTGAGGTCAGAAAGCTCAGCTTTATGAGGGAGCAGCAGTAGCAGTTTCTCATCTTACCCTCCATATGTGGTCCTGGCCTGTGCTACTGAGGGCCCTGGTACCTGCTGCCCTCAGGTCAGAGGCAGCTGGGAGGACATAGCTTTCATTGAGATAGATGGAAGGGAAATGTGGCCCTGCCTCCTCCTCCTGTTGGACATCAGCTGTGGCCTGGGCTCTATGCTAGCCACGTAGGGTCTGAGGTGACTTACCCAGAGTTCTTTTATGATGCAATGAAGAGAAAGACACCTACTGCGCTGGCCACTGGATGATAAAAGATTTGATTGGACAAGAACTAAGAGGCCACACATTGGAAGGAGACATGCTGCCTTTTATCTGGAGCATTCAGGAACGTATCACAGGGAAGAGAACCTCTGTGCCAGCTGGGTGGGACTGCTTGTGTGGATGTGGAGAGGGAAAGGCTAAAGAGGCAGGCAAATACTAAAAGGGGACAGGGATGGGGAACCTAGCTAACTACAGGGGAAGAGAAAAAAGGAATGAAGTTGGCCAATACTGGTTGGGTCCCAATGTGGATAGTCATGGGTACCAGGCCCTTGGAGCTTGATCTGATAGGCACGAAGAACCAGGGCATCTTAGAGCAGATGCCAGAAAGACAAATGCAGCAGTAGCTTGAATGGCACAGTGTCATTTAAGCAGACTCATTTTAAAGCTTTATTGACAAAACACGTGAACTGGAAGAGGACAGGGGCCATCAAGGTAATCAGGGGCAAGGATAAGCACCGGTGGGTGCAGAATGATGGGAGAAACCACCTTAACCTGGGGAAAAGCGTGAAGAGACCCACACAGTGTCACACCAACTTTGAAGTGGAGGATGTGGCTGTGTTGGGGGACAGGCCTGAGTTCATTCTCAGGGAAGAACTGAATAATACCTTCCACTACTTTCTCCTCCAACCCACACATGCTCAGATTGGCCGGTCCCCCTATTCAGGTAGAACAGGTGAAGGATAGGGAGGCCGTATGTAAGTGTCAGGGATCTTGTATGTGCCTCACCCTGTGCTGTCCCTGCTCTCAAGGAATCTAGTTGACCCACAGGATGCAGCGCATGGCAGTAAACCATAGCCATGCAAAGGAGGGCCAAGGGCTATGGCAAGCTACCAACTCTGCCCCAAGTTAGCTAAGCGAGGGGTCTCCATGAGCTGAGGGCTTGTGCTGGGCCTGGAAGCCTGGGCAGGGGAGGCTCCATGCTAGGTGGAAACTGGTCTCTTAGGGTGCTCAGCACTACTCTGGGCCTACTAGCCTAGGTCTTACCACCCAGCACAGCTGCCTTCTTCCTGTGTTTGTTCTGGACATCTCTCCCCCAGGGCCCCTGGAGACAATGGGCCAGGCATTTCAGGTTGCCAGCCTGTGTCATGATCAGAGTCCCTGTGGTGCCCCTGGCCTCCCTGCTGTATCTTTTCCCAGGCTGTGTTTATTTATAGTGCTGTTCCCGTCCCTTCCTGAGCTGTCTGTCTGATCCTTTTAGGGATCAATTGCAAACAGACCTTGGTATTGGGCAGCTTTTTAGTCATTTAATGCAAATCGCCGCACTGCTTTGCAGGTCAGGTTTTAATGATCTGGAATCGATCCAAGCTAAGTGGCTTTTGATCTTGCTGTGGAGTGAAGATGCCCCACAGAAGCTGGGGAGCACTGGGCCACATGCTCCTGATTAGAGCTGATGGCTTGATTCTTGCTGCATTTTTAGTCCATTTCCGAGTATTTTCTTTTTAACCTCTTCTCGGTATTTGAATGTGTCTTTTTCTCTTCCAGGCAATTTTGAGTGTGGCAATCCAGAGAAGCTAAAAAGCAAATGCATTCCTGTTCTGGAAGCCCAGGAATACCTCGAAGTAAGTAGGCTGTGGCTTCTGCATTCCTGAGAGGGTGGTTGCCTTCCTATTGATCCTTTCAGCCTTGTGGGTTTTTTCTTTTTGTTTTCTATTTGTTTTGTGACTGCCTGCCTGCCTACTTACCTGCCTGTCTTTCCTTTCTTCCCTTCCTTCTTTCCTTTTACACTCAATGGAGCCATAGGGAAAGAGGAGGTCAAACTATCCCTATTAGCAGATGGCATGATCTTATATCTAAAGGACCCAGGCTTCTAGAGCTGATCAATAAACTAAGTGGAGCCTTAGTACTTAGCACAGAGGGGACTGTGCCCCAGAGCCGGGAGCAGATGGCACTGTCCTGACCCCCACAGCCCCTTCCTTCAGCCAAGCGGTCACTGCAGGTGGCCCTTGCTGAGAGACCCACTTCCCCCGCGTCCTTTGTTCACTGTTCACCCTTCCCAGCAGCTTTTTTTTTTTTTGGTCCTGAGGCTTGAGCACTGTCTCTAAGCTTTTCTGCTCAAGGCTAGTGTTCTACCACTTTGAATCACAGCTCTACTTCCAGTTTTCTGGTGGTTAATCAGAGATTAGAATCCTAAGGACTTTCCTTTCTTGGCTGGCTTTGAATGCTGATCCTCAGATCTCTGCCTCCTGAGTAGCTAGGATTACAGATGTAAGCCATCAGGTTCTAGCCCCAGCAGCTTTTAAGGAGACACATTTAATCTGTTTATCCCCCCCCCCACTCCCCCTACCCTCCCACCCCCCCACCCCTGCTCCCTGCCACTGCCCATGTAACTCCCTTCAGATTCTTGGGTTCTGTTAGATTTTCTGCACGGCCTCTAGGTGGTAGAAATATGGCACTCTGAAGCTGGCAGGAACCTCGGGGATCATGTAGTTCAATTTTCTTTGTATAGATAAGAAAAACAAGACTTACAGAGGGTCAGGGGCATTGGAGGCCACACAGCTGGAACTGGCTGTCAGCCTCCACCCCATCCTGATGCTCTTTTGCATTTTACGTGAAGATGGACTGCAGCTCTCTGGCCTCGGGCTTCAGACTTGGAGATGATGCTATTCAGGCCACCTCAGACCTGCACTGTTTTCCTGGGGATGCTTCCGCATCACCTCCTCTAGCCGAGCCTCTTCCTGCCTCTCCTCACCCAAATTGTCTTCTTGCCAGTTTGCTGTGCATCTAGTGGAATGAGGCCTTAGGGCCTGTAGAATCTGTGGAGAGGGAGGGCTTCCTTAATCCAGCATGGAATGATCTCTGGCTATATGGTCAGAGGCAAAACTAATCTCCTGTCCTATCCCTAGAATGTGACCAGCAGCTCTTCCGCCAAGTTTGAAGCTGCCCTGACCTGGATCCTGAGCAGCAACAAGGATGTGGGCATCTGGTGAGTGTGGGCGGGCATCATGGGTGGCATGGTAGCAGCAGCCTCACGCCTGCACCGATGTCCTCTCCCATCAGTTGCCTCCTGTGCTCAGCAGAGGGTCTCAGGTGTGAGTTTCAAGCCTCACCGAGCCAGTTTGTGAGCTAGGTTGGGAGCCAGGCTGAAGAGTAGGGAGCAATGGGATGCTATAGCCTAGTATCCCAGCTAATCCTGCCTCAGGTAACTGGCTGCAGTTTGCTGGAGGAGGAACTTCTCTGTACTTCCTCTCCTGGGGTTCAAGTTTTCATTTGCAGATGAAATGATTCTGCATGTTGGTTTTACCCAGTATGGAAATTGCTTGGGAAATACTGGTTTTGTTCTGACCAAGCAGCTTTTGCCCTACTTTTTTTTTTAAATCTTTGGCCACCAGAGCTGTTGGTAGAGATAACAGCCCTTTCAGGAGAGTGAAAGGCCTTGTTCAGCTGCTCCGTGGGGGAGGGGCATCCCAGCCCACAGCCAGGCAGCCCTGGGGTCTCTGCCCTAGCAGAGCTGCAGCCCCTTGCCTCTGCCCAGCTCCACTGCTGATAGAACACATGCTCTCGGGTTTTGTTTATTCCTCTCTAATCCACCCAAATTACTAATTCCATCAGCAGTGCATCCAGTGGAACCCCTCAGACAGCTCAGTCTAAAGCGTGGTAACTGGATGCAAGGCACGGTTAAGATTCAGAGGCTTAAAATACAGCTGCCCTGAGTGCTGAGCTCATTTCCCTGTGTTGGAAGAGGAGAGGGGAATAGGGACTGTCTGGTCCGCAATGCGCCAGGGCTAACCCAGAACCACAACACTCACCTCGTGCTGCAGAAGGCAGCCAGAAGGTGGCTGGGCCAGAGGGCCAGTGCTGAAAGTGGATCTTGAGAAATCAGGCCACCAGATCACAGCCATTCCAGAGCACAGTATCGTGTCCCTGAATCACGGGGCTGGAAGAGGCCTCCAGCGTGAATGTTACCCAGCTTTTGGTGCCTTTTGACACCATGGCATAGGTGTCGTGGCAGGGACCTGGCCTCCAATGGCCTGGTGGTTCCCGTTCAGTATGAACCTCTCTGGAGCCCCATGATCTTTACACTTGCACAGCTCACGTGCCAGCTCATCACGGAAGAAAAGCACAACCTCCCAGAGCCTGTCTTTCAGTTCTTGCCTTGCCATTGCGAAGCGAGAGATTCAGTAAACATTTCCATTGCGCTATGCTGGGAGGTGGGAATCCAATTTACAGTTTAATCTTCTGCACGCTGAGAGAGGCTGTCAAAGACCCGACAGAGGGGGACGTCACTTTAACGGTAGGGGTTCAAGATTGCTGCCGTCTTTAAAGCTTTCTTCTTTCTAAGTAGCCAATGTGGGAAATTTCTGGAAAGAGCACAACCAGGATACCAAGCCTATTCTGTAATCTGGTGGAGGTCTCTGGTCCCTCCTTCCTTTGCCTTTTTCCCCTCCTGGTTGGTGTGGGGCTTATACCCCAAATCCTGTGGCACAGGCGTCCTGTGAGACACATTGGGAGCCCTATGACCTATTTCAGGTTGAAAGGAGAAGACCCATCTGAGTTGGTGACAACTGTGGACAAGGTGGTCTGCCTGGAGTCGGCCCGGCCCCGGATGGGCGTCGGCTGCCGCCTGAGCCGAGCCCTGCTCACTGCCGTCACCCACGTGCTCATCTTCTTCTGGTGTAAGTCCTGGCCACCGCCCTGTGCCCCCTCATCCAGAGCCCAGCTCAGTGCCCACCTGGGTATGAGGGATGGCTTCTTCCCAGCCAGAGGGTTCATTTCTGTCTGTTGAACCTGAGGTCTGTCTAATAAAACAGAGCAGATGAGCAAGTCAGCCTCTGCCCCAGGCTGTCTTTACCTTTGGAGATTAGTGGCGGGAGCATCAGGATAACTAGAAATGTCCTTGATGTGGGGCAGGGGAGACTGTCTACTTCTCTGAGAGGGAGTGGTTCGGGCAAGCGCCAGGCCATGCTGCTTCTGATGGGTCTTCCAGAATCCCAGCATATAGACCAGCTCCAGGCAGGTGCGCAGCAGGACCATGGCCTAATTTTCCTCAGTGAAACATCTCCTGGAGAGCTCCAGATACCTTCCAAAAGCAGAGAGGACATGGGGTGCTGGGCCGAGCAGGACAGCAGGGCTTATCTCCCAGCATCGAAGCTGCCTTTGAACAGAGACCTCAGGGCCTCAGAGACAAAGGGCCAGGGCAGAGCCCTGGACCTCAGAGATAGCCGGTGCTACACACCACAGGCCTCTGCACACACCGTGCTCTCCCACACCACCAGGCAGGGAATCATTATCGGCAGTCGTTTCAGAACACAAAAGGCCCAGTGTGTATACATATATGAAACGCTGTTTCATGTTCACAAGGGAGTGGATGAAAGAGCTGGATGAGGATGGGAGGGGCCAGGACCCAGATGGCTGAGGATGCCTCTGGTGACAGCAGCGAGAGGAAGGAGATTGCTTTATAGCCTAGCCTCTCCCTGTCACGTCCTTCCCTGCATCTGACCCCACACCTGACACGGAGCAGGTGCTCAGGCACGCGCCCTTCCCACAGCACCCCCTGCAGGGCACTGAGCCTCTGAGTGGCCAGGAGTTAATGGTGTTCCGTTCCCTCGAAGGCTTGGCCTTTCTGTGGGGACTCCTAATCCTCCTGAAGTACCGATGGCGGAAGCTGGAAGAGGAGGAGCAGGCCATGTATGAGATGGTGAAGAAGATTATAGGTGCGTGGGCCCCTGGGGAAGGGACTGCCCACGTCACCAGGCCTCGCACTAAGCACTGTGCTCTCTTCTGCAGACGTGGTCCAGGACCACTATGTGGACTGGGAGCAGGATATGGAGCGCTACCCCTATGTGGGCATCCTGCACGTGCGTGATACCCTCATCCCTCCTCAGAGCCGGTGAGTGCTCCCCGGGGTGCTGTAGTCGCGTGAGGCTGTCAGGGCCTGGTTCCACTAATCCCCACAGAAGGAAGCCAGAGGCTGGACCCATGAAGCTCAGTGCCTCCCAGAGTCCTGACAAGCTGTGTCCTCGCCACCTGCCACTCCTGGAGTGGGCTTAGCTCTTTAGCAGAATGAGATGTGCCGCAGCATCAGGGCTCCCACGGACACCCTCAGTATTGATGGGCTGTGGGTCTCTCAGGTCTTCCGCTACAAAGGGTCTCATTGATCCTACAAATAGGAGTTCAGAGCGAGGGGTTGGGGGTTCTGGACAGAGAGTAGCCAGCTCTGTGGGCCCACTTTCTGTGATACACGTCCCCTGTGGATGTTGCCAGCAGGCTGGTTCCACGTGGTTACAGGACAGGAGCTGCCAGAGTAACGTGCCTCGGCACTGTGGCTTTCCTGCACACTAGAGAAACCTCAGTGGTCTCAGTGGCCCCCTTGGGGTGCCACAGGCCAGTCAGTTTCTTGTCTTTATGAGTCAGTCACTGGCAAGGAAGGCCCAGAGTGAGAAATACCTGTTACCTGGTTCCTGCACATGCATGGACATACATGTGCACATACGTGCAGTTGAAGGCAGTCTTACATAAGACCAGCGTGCATAGGACGTTGCTTTTCTGACGTGCATGAGTCCCTGGGTTTCATTCCCTGCACCACCAAAAATAAATATATATAAAAGTTTCCTAACATGGGATGCTTCACACCTGCCATGCTTCCCCGTAGGAAGCTTGGTGAGAGCCACTGTCAGCCAGTGCTGCCCTGAGAAATGCTTGCTGTTGGTCCCCAGGCAGTCACATGGTCTCCAGCTCTCAGGGGAGCCACTCGATGTACCTGAGCTCCTACCTGATTCCTGCCCCTGCTGGGAGTCACTGCGGGACCACCGACAGTTCTCTCCCCCCTCTTGAGCTATGTTGTTCTTATTATAAAGCAGCCATTCCTCTGTCTTGAAGAGGACCACAGTGAAGTGGGGCTGCCCTATGCCTTTGATTCCACAAATTGCCTACTGTGCACCATAGGCTGACTTGGGGACACAGCAGCCAGTGGAGGAAGCAAAATCTCTGTCCTCCTGGTGCATTTGCTCTAGAGGGAGTCAGATAAGAAGCATAAGGAAAGGGGGGTATTGGGCAATGATAAGTCCTAATTGACAGGAGACAGGTGCTGAAGAGGTGGCTGCCCTGGCTCAGTCCATGTCTAGCACAAGTATACTATGAGTGCTGATCCCACATGTGTTCCCCTGAATAAGAACAGGATGGCATGGTTACCTGTGTAGCCAGAACCAGCCCGGGCCCTGTGGTTGAGCGTAGATGTCAAGAGCTGCTGGCCAGGCACATGGCTGCCCACATCTGAGCCTATCCCGTACCCCTGTTGGCTCTCAGCACCCCCATCCATCTCCCAGACCAGGCCACCCAGGCCAAGTTCTCAGCACAGAAGGATCGCCAGCTGGGTGGTAGGCTCTGGCCAGTGAGGGAAGGCCTGTCTTGGAAAGTTGAGGGAGATGGGAAGCTGGTCGGTGAGACAAAGGGGGAGCCAACGAAGCAGCTGGCAGCCTGTTCGTCACCTGTGAATGGGCCGTGAGGTGTCGTGTAGCCTGCTCTGTGATGGTGGCCTCCTCCTGGACCCTTAGGAGGGGTGGGCATCCTCCCAGCTCAGTCTCTAGGGCAGTGTGGCCTTGTCTAGGCCAGCCAGCTGCATAGCCTCCAATGATAAGGCCTGACAGGAAGAAAGCCCCTGTACCCCCAACCTGTCCCCTGACTGTCCTCTCCAGGTGACCCTGCTGCTTCCCGCCACACGCACTCCCACACATGGGCCCTGCATCCGGGCTGCAGGGGAGAAGGGAGAAGGGAAAGGAGCTGTCCTAGGGGAGGCAGGGCCCTCCCTGGAGCTCTGCTTCCCACCCCTCATTACAGGAGGCGCATGAAGCGCGTCTGGGACCGTGCTGTGGAGTTCCTGGCCTCCAACGAATCCCGGATCCAGACAGAGTCCCACCGAGTGGCTGGGGAGGACATGCTGGTATGGAGGTGGACCAAGCCCTCCTCCTTCTCTGACTCAGAGCGGTAGGCCCCACGGGGCCTGTGCCAGCCAGCCTGGCCTGCTGCCAGCCCAGGCGAGAGGCGGGCACGGACCTCTGGTGCTGCGTTGTTCACACTTGCCTTGACTGTTCACCCCTGCCCCATTCTGGAGACCTCTCAGAGGAAATGTGGGCTTCCTGTAGAGACGACAGGGAGAAACTGGGGTGAGACCCAGCCCCTCTTGCCTGTCTTGCTAGCAGAATGGGGGAGAAGGGCTGGTTTTCCAAGAGCAGCAAGTAGAAGGCAGGCAAGCTGGAGCCTGCCTGCCCGCCAGCGGGTTCCTCAGCTTGGAAGGTGGGTTGGGAACAGGGCATAGGGGAGTGCTAGGTCCATGTGCCTTCGCGGGTGTTAGCTCAAGGGTGAGGGGAGAAAGCTGTCCCCTAGGTGGATGGGCTACTTATGTCCTAGAGGGAAGATGCTAGAAATTAGAACGGGTGACCATAGGGCCCTCAGGTTGGAGGCATGGCCTCCCTAGCCGGGATCGCAGTGGAGTCCTGTGCAGGCTGAGAACCGGCCTGTCTTGTAGCCACCAGCTCCTCAGTGGTGCTTCTCACAGAAGTGAATTCAGGCCAGACCTGCAGCCACATGTTGCATCGAGCCTAGAATGCCCGTTCCAGGGCCCTTAGAGCTCCAGCTCCCCACCTGTGTGGAGCACTTGTTTTACTGTGATGGCCTGCCTCCCTTCCTGTCCAGGGCTGTTTAAGGGACACTTAGAGCCTGGTGACTTGTCGGCAGTGGCCACACATTGCCCCCTGCTGGCTGCACAGAACACTGCTGCCTGCTAGTCCGCTCCACCTGCTGGGGAGCCCCCTCCAGAACACCTGGTTGGGGGGGGGCCTTATTAGTGCTGAGAGTCTCCAGCTCCTCTCATCCCACATGGCCTCTGAGGCAGGCTGGAGAGGGGAGTAGCCAGAGGAGATGCACAGCTGCTTCCAGAAGACCCTGGGCACCCCTTTCTGGACTTCCTGGCATTCTTGTTTCTTTAATAAAGCTCCAGACTCCTCATTTGAGCAATACTCTTCATTTCCTCTGATGTCTGGACACTCAGCTGAGCTGGAATCCGCTCTGCCTGTGGTGAGGCCCTGTTCTCATAATCAGACTCCAGCCAGAAGGAAACACATGGCAACAGACTTCAAAATCAGGGCGGAAACTTGAATAAATAACTATTTATTAAAAACAGCTGTTTTTCTCATCTATGATGTGTCTCCCCCTTCCTTCCGCACCCCCCTAAAAACAAACATCACTGAACATTGGCTACAGATGAGCTGCAGAACCTGGCTGGAAGTTCGGGCTGGGCAGGCAAAGGTTTACAGCATGAAGCAGTGTGGACCACCACCCTGCAAGGTTTGCAAGGAGTCTGTGGGTGGCCAGGGGTGAGCCGCTTCCTTCAGCTCCACTTCTGCCTCAACACCCCTGAGGCACCCTAGGTGCTGGCACCTGGGGGGTCAGCTTCCCAGAAGCTGGTGATGTACCTAGGAGCAGGCTTCTCACCTCCAGGCTCAGCACTTGGGAGGCCCCACATGGCTGGTCTGGTTGGTGCCAGGGCCCCTGGTTTGTTGGAGAGGTGGGGGAAGGTGAGCTGCAGGCATTTGTATTTGGCACCAAGATGAAGATGGGGCCTTTGTGCGGGACCCCAAAGCCAGTCACCCCAGGAAGAGAAAGCAGTCCCTGAGCTGTGCCACAGGGGACTCTTCTATCCACACCAGTCCCTCTGTGGGTGGGTGGCTCCTGATACATGGCACTAGCCTGCTAATGCCGCCAGTCCACTGGAAGCCTGGTGAATACCAGGGCCCAGCACACAAGTAAAAACCCATCTTTTGAGTGGAAGATTTTCCCCAGCCATATTTCGTTTGGAACTGAGAGGGAGCTAATGCAAGGCTATTGCTGGGAGCTGTTAGCAGAGCCAGAGCCAGATCAAAATAAAATAACAAAGGCCCACACCCCTGCTCCCTCATTAGTTGCTAGAGCTGCAGACATTTCTGACCGGCTTCACAGCCCCCTTAGCTGGGTGGGGGAGGGGCATGCCTTGCCTTTAAGCAGCTCTTGGCAGACAGCACAAGGCAGTGGGGTCTCTGTACAGAAGATGGGGGCCAAGGGCATCTTAGGACTAGCGCTGTGGCTGAGAAGTTTCCATAGCATAGTCCAAGGCCCTTGGACAATGTTCCAAATGTTCCCAGGGCTGCAGACCTGTCTTTCTTTGGTGACAAATGGTCCCCCTGGACAGACACCAATACAGGGCCGTGTGGAGGAGGAGAAAGAAGCTGAACCCCACAAATCTCAGTGTGGACGTCCACCCGGAGCTCAGGCCACCTTCAGGCTCTACCCAGAAAGATGATAAACACAGCCATTCGTCACTGACTTATAAGTGGTGGTAGCAGCTGTTCCGCTTAATTAATGCACCATTGACTTTGAGCCTCCAAAACTCCCATCACTGGGGCAGGCTTGTGGGCCCAAATCCATTATCCTGTTGGCCACCCCCAAATGGAAGGGGCATGGGGGCAATTATGTCTCCCAAATGTCCCTAAATAGTCCTCCCCAGGAAAGCCTGCTCCCCCATCTGGTCCCCAGAGAAAACTCTAGAAGGGAGGAAGCATCTCGAAATGCACCAGGGACAATGGGGGCCGAGGGCTCAGTGGGCACCAGGTCACCTGGCACCTCTACATTTCCCCTCAGCTGACACTGAACCCCAAGCAAGGAACAGGGCTCTGCAACCTTGGGGTTGTCTTTGCCTATCCTCTGCCTCGGCAAATCTCTCCACATCTACCAGAAGAGGAGGTATGAAGATAGAATGGCCCAGCACTGGTGGCTAGCACCTGTAATGCTAGCTACCCAGACCTGAGGATCGCAGTTCACAGCCAGCCTGGGCAGAGAAACCCATAAGACAACCACCAGAAAACCAGAAGTGGTGCTATGGCTCAAAGTGGTAGCGCGCTAGCCTTGAGTGAAAAAGTGCTGGGATAGCACCCAGGCCCTGAATTCAAGCTACATGATTGACCCTCCCCACCTCCCCACGCAAAAAAAAAAAAGATGAAATTCAACTGCACAAGGCAGCGTTATGGAAGTGAGTGGAAGTTCACTGGGCCCTCAACAGAAGGCTATGTGGTAGGTACTGGGCAGGCCATCATGGGAAAGGCCACAAAGCGGAGTGGTCTGTGAACCAAACATCCTGGTTCCACTTCTTCACAGGAAGGAGGAGCCTCTCCTGTTATGTATTTGCCAGAACCCAAAGAAAGCTTCCTTCCAGAAGAGGAGCTAGGATCTCTCAGGGGCTCCTTCAGGCTCAGTGATCTGCCCCTACCCTAGGACTCACCTGGCCTTTTCTTCTGCTCCCTGTACTCTATACAGGCCCCACCTCTTTGCTTCCCTGGCCTTCACCATCTGGCTCCAGCCGCAGGGCCTTTGCATTTGCTCTCCATCTGCTCTGCATCCCCTCAGATCTCCATGGGGCTCACCCCCTCTCTCTTTCAGTTCTTCTCTGTTCTCGTTTCCTGTCTGAGACTATACCTGTTACCCGCACCCTGCACATCGAGGGCCCTCCTTTTTCTGCACCTAATACCTGACTTGCTGCCTGTATTATTGGAGGCAACCTCTACCCCAGAAGAGAGTGAGTTTCTAAGGTCTGACTTCCACTTGTTTCTGTTCAGACTGCTTTTATCTTGTTTCCCTCTTACTCTTACTGAGTAAATCCCCCGTTCTGATGCAGATTGGTCCCCAGTATTGTGTGCATCACCCCTAGACTGCCTTCAGGAGGGGTCCACCCCTGCATAGAAACAGTTTCGCTCCTAGGCACACACAACTAGGCTGCGGTGGGTTGTGAGAGCAGGGGTGTGGGGCCCTAACACAGCAGCAGGCACCTTCTCAGGCCCTGGCACCATGTTTTTATGGGAGTAGCCAGGCCCTGCCATCTGTGTAAGACACTGTCAGGGTGGTGGCCTCCAGAAAGTGATTTCTCACCAGCCCTGGCAAGCCAGAGGTTGGAATAGATTTTACTTGATTGCTGAGAAAAGTGACTACATTTCTCCTTGCCAAGAGTGAGGCCCACCCAGTTCCTGGTCAAGGCCCCTGGAAGAGCATTCATCTCAACATCACGGGGGGGGGGGGGGGGGGAAGGCGGGGGGTAAAATCCCAGGTGGGAGGGCTGTGGGGGAGTGGGGGGGTGTAAAATCCCAGGTGTGGACAGCTGCTTTGCAAAAGAAAGTGCTACCCACCAAGGGGACAATACTAGGCTGTCCTGATCTGGGTAGATGAGCAATAACAGCACTGCCAAGCTGGTCCTGAGAAAGAGAAATAGCGGGATGGCAGGGGAAAGGAGGTAACACTGCGGTTACACAGCCCAGCTTCAGAGCTGCTTGTTTCGGAAGGAGACAGGGGAAAGTACAGTAATTTTCTTCAATGAAAACAGGCAACAGAATTCCCTTCGCCTCGTTCCCCTTGCAATTAAGCCCTTCTCTGCAAATGAAATGATTTGGTTTTCATGGGGACTAATTTAAGCACACTGGAAGGACCGCTGAACTTTTTGATTGCAAACACTAGCATATGCAAAACAGAACCCAGCAATGATGCCAGGCTGATGAACCAGCCCTGCCCATGGAGACAGGGCTTTGGCAGGGAGCCCTGCTCGGCCCCTCCATTCGTCCCTCCATGTGGCTGGCCCTCAGCCCTCATCCCAGTGGTGGGTTAAAGACGCCACTCACGCTTTGCCACTCTCTTTTCTAAGGTCTGGTTGAGTTCTTCTGTCTAGAACCTGGCTGTCCCTTGACTGCTTTCATTGTGACTAGAGCCAGGAAGACACTGGCTGGTCCCATTCCAAAACCTCAAGAGACCTTGGCTCTTTCACTTTTGCCCTCTTGGACCTCTGCCACCATGGAGAGTGGCCTGGCTGTCCTGTAGGACAGACCTTTTGGGTAAAGTTACCAACCAGCCTGCCGGTCAGCCCAAGCTGACCTTGAATTCTTCATTCTCTTGCCTCTACTTCACCAGCTCTGGGATCACAAGCATGAACTACTGTGCCCATCTGGCAACTTTTAAATTTGAAACAGTTTAGGACTTGGAGAATATGCAGATAACACAGTTGCCCCCCAAAAACCTAGGTTTTAGGGGCATGACTCATGTTGTAGAATGCCCAGCAAGCTGAGTGATTGTATGTCCTTGAGTTCAAATCTCAGTACTGAAAAAAATAATCAGACTTTCCCAATCTTTGAAACTGGACATAACTTTATGATGCTGTAAAAGCCAATGTAATAGAATGGCACTTCAAGGCGGAAACATTATTCACTTATACATGATCTGCTCTTTTTTTTCCTTTTTTTCTTTTCATGTTACAGCTAGGGTTAAGGCAGCCCCTCTGCTTGAATCCCAAAGCAGTGACAACATGGTACAGGATCCCCATCTGTCCCTTAAGGTAGTAATGTGAGCAGAAACCCAACCTGTTGCCACAAATGCAGTCCTGTTTGTCACTGCAGCACTCGCTAACCCATGCTGACTCCGCAGGCAACTAGTGATTACCAAAATCTTCCCAACAGAAGGAAAAATGGCTTGAGTTGAAATGGGGGTGGCACAGGAACTTACCTGAGTCTTCTACACTCCATATCCAGTGCCTGGAGGCTGAACTGAAAGAGCCCAGAATGTCTGTCTAGGCCTGAATTTTTGCCGCTGCTAAGCTTTGGTGCAAAGACCAGGACAGTGTCTGGCAGGCTCTACAGTGATGAGCTGCCGCAGGAGCTCCCCGAGCCAGCTCCCCTTGCTGTGCAATTACCACCAAGACAGGATTCCCTGAAGAGAAGCATCAGAGAAGCAGCACCCAGCAGGAGTATGGACAAGAAGGAGGCCTCATCCTGTGCAGCTCACCGCGGAGCAGCCACAAGCTGTGCAAGCACCAAGTCTTACCTGCTTAGCAGTGAAGAGGGGCTACCCTGCGGTCTCAGTGGAGCCAAGGCTCAAGTGTCCATTGGTTGTTCTGGCCCCCAATTTAGTTGGCGGAAGAAGCTAGCAGAGCCTGGCCAGGTCAAAGGTTATCAAAACAGCCTCATTCCTCATTGTGAGGTGATGTGGATATTCCCAGAGCATCCTACTCCCCCACACCCCAAGACATGAGTGGCAGGCCCCTGCTGAAGCACATACCAAGATACCTACTGGGATCTTGATGGACGCTGGCCAGGGGAGAAGAGCCGGGACAGAGG